GCAAGATGGTACTGCTCTATGGTCTCAGGCTGGGGAGCTGAGGGAATTGGCTGGAGCCTCTCGATTGTTGGTTCATGAGCGGCTGGCAAAAGCATTCATGTAACTCAGATGGGTGTGTCCCTGACTGTGGATGTCTGTGTAAGTGCAGTACTGGGAGAGGTTTGTGGCTTAGCAACAGCATCACAGTGAGAGAGAGCCCAGGTTGGTAAGCCAGAGGGCTCAGAGGTACCCCAGTTTCAGGCTGCATCCCATCACAAGCTGATCATCAAGTAGGTGGGTACAAGAACTATTCTCCTTTATCAGGCATTTAATTACTCACTTTTCCAAACTCCCCACACACAAACAAAGAGAAGCAGAAAACAGTTCAGCATTAAACAACTATGAATCAAACGGGAAAATAATCAGATCTGACTCTGCTCTGCAAAAACGTATGCTATATTTGAGAAGTGCTGATTGGATAAACAGGCTTTTGCAAGGGAGCATCGATGAATTTTCTGCATATGATTTACAGACCTAATCAATAATGCAATAGGCAATTTCACCATAACAAAATTATCCCTATTCATGTTCTAAAGGAAACACATTCAACATAGTTTTAACTATTTGCCCATTTAAAAACCCATGAACTGAGAAGTCAAAATTCAATCCCAATTTTCTAGGCATGGATTTTTTTCAGTTGGCAAGCTAATTCAGAAATAAATGTTAGATGGACAACCACAAATCTGGTGTCACAACCTTAGAAAACCTTTTTATAGGAAATAGGGTCTAATATAAAGCTGCTGGGGTTCATTCTATAACAAAAAAGAGAGTATTAAACTGACTAAAATATATACAATACTGTCACTGATCTATTAAAATTAACCTCTGAACAAACTTGACAGCAAAAAACCTGCTCTAGCACATGGTTCGAAGCAGGCCCCAGTATATCAGTGACAGACGGTAATGGAAGGCACAACATGATTGTTTATTAAGAGTATGCTAAAGTGTATAAAAGCTGATATTTTTAAAATATCCCTCATCGTCTCACGATGAAAAGTTTTTCCATGTATATTTGGAAGGGCTCAGAGTTCTCACTCTCAAATATTATGCAGTACTTAAATATTTTACACACATACCAAAAAACTTGCGTTTGGTTTCAGATCTCTGCTCTCTATTCCCAGTGGAAAAATGTTTCTGCTATAATTAATTCACTGGGACATGAAATGGAAAAATCTTTCACCTTAGACATTTCACATTAGATGAAAGACAATCAGGGTGACAGAACAAATCAGTCTTTTATTAAGCAGACCTGATGGGGTCAGACAAGAGGAATAAAATGTCAGATCTAAAACCTGTACAACAAGGTGGAGGAATATTTTATGAAAGAGGTGGAGAGAAATTAAAATCCCCAGAAGAGACAAGGCTGCATCAACAAAAGAGATCCAACATTTAGACAACATTACAGGTATCAATTTAATGCAGGGCAGTTTTACGTTCACTCTCTCTTAATGCAACAACTGGTAGTATTAACATTGCCAGAATACTGCTGCAGGCTTTCCATCTCTCCAGCAGCATGTGCAATGCAAGCTCACTAATTCCTTCCCTGAGGCAAAGAGCATGACCCCGATCCCCTACCAAGTCAAAATCCCAAAACTTTACTGCTAAATATAATGAAGCAGGACCCAGAATAAATCTGCTGCCTGACAGAATAGCTCTTCCCCTCCCCCATGCCTAAAGATCTCAACAGCCTTCAAGGTCATCCATACATTAAACATCCTTGTCTGCACTCCTTTGTTTTTCTCTCCCCTTCATTTTTAAACTACAGAAGGAAACTGTACAGAAAGAAGAAAGGTTGCTTTCTAAAACCTACAATCCTCAATGGAAGTCTCCTGAAATTCAGACATAATATTTGCTGATAAACTCGGGGTTGAACATGAAGTGCAATATTTCTATCACAACAATTCAGCTGGTGGGGTTTCCAGTGTTATTTTCATGCCACACTTAATGTTACTTTAGAAGAGGCATTAGAACTGGGAATGTCAACAATGAAAAGTGTTCGATTATATCCTCAAGAAACCAAGCTTCCTGGCCACCACCGTCCCCACAAAATACCAAGCCATAAGATTTTTGGCAATTTAGATGTTAAAACCAATAATGCAACACACAAGCATTTAATGACAACGTATTGATTTCAAGATGCATTTTACCCGAAGGATGCCAGTGAAAACAGATTGACTGTGGGCTTGATCTAAATATGCTTGATCTTACTTTACTGAAAGTGATATTTGGCCAGGTTCTAGGATCTCTACTCAGTTCTTAAATAACCAGACTCACTGTGACTGCAGTGGGAGCTTTCTTGAATATAAGTTCTAACTAAAGAGAGTGAGGAAGTCAGAATACAGTATGTTAATTATTGTTTCTCTCACTTCTGCTAATAAAGTGAGATATCGAGTGTGTTAGGGCTAAGCAATGCAACAAAGGTTTAAAAGGTCATACCAATTGCTATACATGAATCTAATTTTCCAGCTATTAGCTTCGTTTTGCTCTCAGACATACAAGAGCTTATCATATATCCACTAAACAGTAGCTTCTTGTGCAATCATAAGAGCGGATTTTAATGGATTCCTGATAACGTGCAAGTGTGACTGAGGGCAGAATCAAGCCCTAAACTTGTATGATGTTGAAAAGTGACAGTTCATGACAAAAATGAAATACAGTAAATACTATTTGTTGAACCATACTCTTCTGTTACTCTTCAGCTACTGGAAAAATCCCATCAAAGCCATATCAGTCATTAAGAACAGCAGTTCTTCCAATTCTTTCTTTCCAACACTTGCTTATTCTTCCCACACTCAGGGTCAGTTTCTCACTTGCTCAAATGAGTGAAAAAACAAAACCGATTCAATGATCCACTAGCAAGATGATATGTTTCAGAATGGCAGCCGTGTTAGTCTATATCAGCAGAAACGAGGAGTACTTGTGGCACCTCAGAGGCTAAAATTTATTTGAGCAGAAGCTTTCATGGGCTAAAGTCCACTTCATCAGATGCATGTAGTGGAAAATACAGTAGGAAGAGAGAGAGAGAGAGAGAGAGAGAGAGAGAGAGAGAGTGTGTGTGTGTGTGTGTGTGTGTGTGTCATCTGATGAAATGGGCTTTAGCCCATGAAAGCTTCTGCTCAAATAAATTTTAGCCTCTGAGGTGCCGTAAGTACTCCTGGTTGTTTCTGTTGATACAGACTGCTGATACATATATATACACACATACATATACACACACACACAAACACACACACACAGAGAACATGAAAAAATGGGGGTTGCCATACCAGCTCTAACGAGATCAATCGATTAAGGTGGGCTATTATCAGCAGGAGAAAAAAAAACTTTTGTAGTGATAATTAGGATGGCCCATTTCAAACAGTTGACAAGAAGGTGTGAGTAACAGTAGGGGGAAAATTAGCCCAAGGGAAATAGTTTTTAGTTAGTGTAATGACTCATCCACTCCCAGTTTTTATTCAAGCCTATTTTAATGGTTTGCAGATTAATTCCTGTTCTACTGTTTCTTGGTGGAGTCTGTTTTTGAAGTTTTTTTGTTGAATAATTGAGACTTTTAGATCTGCAGTTGAGTGTCCAGGGAGGTTGAAGTGTTCTCTAACTGGTTTTTGAATGTAATAATTCTTGACATCTGATTTGTGTCCATTTATTCTTTTGCGTAGAGACTGTCCGGTTTGGCCAATTTACATGGCAGAGGTGCATTGCTGGCACGTGATGAATGATGGCATATATCACATTGGTAGATGTGCAGGTGAACAAGCCTCTGATAGTATGGCTGATGTGATTAGATCCTATGATGGCGTCCCTTGAATAGATATGTGGACAGAGTTGGCAACAGGCTTTGTTGCAAGGATAGGTTCCTGGGTTAGTGTTTTTGTTGTGTGGTTGCTGGTGAGTATTTGCTTCAGGTTTATTATGCTCAAATAAATTTGTTCATCTCTAAGGTGCCACAAGGACTCCTCGTTCTTTCGAGCAAGATGATGAAATTCTAGATATGCACAGTACTTTACATACATGGTAAGAAACCTTAGGGCTTGTCTTCACTACCAGGGTAAGCCGACCTAAATTACACTACTCCAGCTACGTTATTCACCCCAGCTACTTTATTCATCTTCACTGCACTGTGTCGATGGGGGATGCTCTCCCGTTGACTTACCTTACTCTTCTTGGAGAGCTCTCTACCATCGATTTTGCGGGTCTTCATTAGACCTGCTAAATCAACACCCGTTGCATCAATTGCAGCAGTGTCTATCTCCCCGGTAGTGAAGACAAGCCCTTAGCTTAAGCAACATTTCTACCTAATAAATACAGAGTGCAGCATGCATCAAAAATCATGTTTTCATGGGGTCATGTCATATCATCTCATTCCTATCCTCCCACCTTCTATTTATAAATTCACTGAGTCCAAAGGTTTCCTTTCTGACCCATGTAATGTCACTCCATATTTGAAAAGTGTTTTTCTCCCCCAGGAAAGGAAACTTTCCATACTTCTCCAAAATATAAGACAAAATTTAGAAAAGAAAACAAAAGACACTATTTAATTCTGTGTCTAGAGTTAATTTTTGTGGGGAGGATCCTCATTGTCCATTAATTCTAACGATACTAAGACAGTAACAGAACACTGGTTCAGTCTAATTGGGGTCATGGGGTTTTCATCCCTGCTGTTTATAAAGGGTGGAAAATGGTAGGCCATGAAGAACGCACTCCTCAAGTCTGTGCATCTGCTGCCATAGCAGGCTGAACAGCCAGCACCCTTCTGTGACCAACAGTGTTTTATCCAAGCCACTAGTGTGCGCTCAAAAAAGAAACAATATATGTGTACCATTCATGACTAAAGATCACCAGACTAAAGGATTCTATATTTACAGATCATAGTGAAGGCAAATCATTAGATTGTGCAGCTCAACCAATAGCCTAGAAAGCCGGCAAACATCTCAAAAAAAAGCATGCACTAATTCCCTTCTCACCTGTGAAGAAACTTTTCATATGTTTGGCGGTAGGCAAATCCTGCCCGTCGGACCCTGACATTCTCCAGAAGTCCAAGGTATTCCACTTGATGCCTGCAACGTTCTTCATCAAACAGCTGTGATGATTTTTTTTCATTGGGCTTAATGCATCGGACATAATATGGCTCCTACAGGGACAAATCAAACAATGACTTACACAGAGCTAAGAACTTTGTGAAGGATACAATTTACTAAATAAAACACACAAATGCACAATTAAAGTAAGTATGCATTCTCCTAAACAGTTTGCCTTTGAATATGAACATGATATAACATATTAACTGAAATTTTCTCTTCAGTTACAGAAAGGAAACAAGACAAAGCTACTGTCATTAAGGAGCATTTGGGGTAATAAGGTGACCCGGAGGGACATGTTTGCAAGGCATAAATATAGACAAATTAAGGGGTCCCAGTACAATAACGAGTCACTAGCACAAAAATGACACGCATCCTTGAAAAGTATAGAGTCAGATTCCCCCAGCTGGTCCAAAGAGGTGCAAATGGACCACTTGCACTCCAGAAGACTTTATCCCAAGGGGGGAGAGAGCTATGTTTCACCACTCACATTTAAAGATTCCACCAGGGGAGCACAACGGTAGTTGCCACCATGAGCCCCACCAAGTGAGGCTGCTTCACCACCCACTTTTCACGGGGTCACCTTGCACAGCCATAACTTTTCTATAGCAGGCCCTGAGCCTGGCTTACCCATAACCTGATTGAACCACATCTCAAGCACCCTTGGTCAATTCTAGCTCAGGCCCATATATGCCATTCAAGCAGCATAGAGAGACCATACAGGTTCCACAACTGGCTAGGGAAGAATTCTTCTAGAACAGAAAATACAAAGAGTCAACTTATGCTGCCCCACCTGGTGCTTGGTAGAGGGCATACTGGAAGGGGAGCCTCTGTAGGGGTGAGTGCCATAGAAACTCTGAACTACATTGGGCTATAGCATAGCCCATGGGCTTCTTCAATAAGGTTGCAGCCAATTAGAGAAGCCTCTGGTAGCTGCATCGGTTTCCAGAATGCCAAGAATTGAAGCAACACAAAGGTGTCTTTAAACTACTTTTGCCACACCCTCCCCAAGCAGTTGTCCTGTATTGCTTCACCTGCAAGGCACAACACAGAAACCATTTCCCCTGACTCCGAATCCCTCCACTGACTCCTTCTAAGCAACCTAAGACACTGATGACTGTTCCTCCCAGCACATTCCCATTTGATCTCTTTGCTTTGCAAACAATGAGTTTTGATTTTTCATTAGTTCCTTTCTGCTACCCCAATCTGTGCCTTTTTTCTCATGCTGCTCCCTACTCATGGAATGCAATCCCCATCCCATTACGTCAAGCCACAATTCTCCCTGTTAAAAACCCATTTCTGCAAGTCCCAAAAGAAGCAAGTTTATAACTAAACACAGAAACTAAGTTGTCTCAATCTCTGGATAGAGTCTTATATTCCTCTAGCATAACTTTAAACCTGCAAAGCAGGCAGGGCAAGGATTATCCTCATATTAGGTATGTGCAGCACCAAGCGCATTACTGGTGCTAAACAAACAAGCCGCAGCCAGGGTGAACAAGATGCAAGAGCTTCACTAAGAGAATCTAGATAATCCACATACATGATGTGAGACTGAAGAGAATTGTTAACAAAAGGTTAAACGTTTGCCCATTCATTCATTCACTGGATCAACATTAAGTCTGAACTATGATATGTATTTTCCTCTCTCAGTAGAAGAAAAACAAGTGTTCTCCCTGTGCGAAGGAAGAGACAGTACTATGAACAGTTCACACATTTTACATCATACTTCTGTAAGATTTTCTTGTTTGGAATGTCTTCGCAAAATGAATGTAAATTCATCTACACTTTGAACATTGCACCTCTTCAAAAGGATAAAACATTCATATTTTTAACATGAGTCAAGTAGCCAAGAGTAACTGTGGAAAAAAACTGTGGACACAATGGAGGGAGAATCACTTCTTGGGAGGCATGGAAGGAAGAGTGCACCTTTGGGTGAAAAGATTCCAGAGTTCTGAGTACTACCTTGTCTTCATGAAATATGCAATAGGGCTCCTGCACAGAAAGCTCTGCCAACTCAAACACTCATCTGGAGGACGTGATGGCTATCAGAAAAAAAGCCTTGATGGACAAATACTGACATCCGTAGTTCACAGGGGTTTTTTTTTTGGGTCAGGGCCCACATCACAAGTGACAGGTCTCATTAGGAAAACAGAGGCCTGCCTGCCTGCTTGGCTAACCGGACTGCTAAAGGAATCTGGCAACCCGGGGTTTCTGTGTCAGAGAATCCAGAGACTCTGCAAACATCATGCTACTATAGGCAGACATCTGACTAGCAATAGGGCCGCACTGGAGACCTTTGAAGCCTTCTTCAAGAAAATACAAAATAGTTGTATTTCCTGAATTACTACAATTTGCTTCACATTCCATGCACCAGCTACAGAACTTGGTCCAGATAGAAGTATACTTTCTAGAAGAAAGAAGAAAAGGAGTACTTGTGGCACCTTAGAGACTAACCAATTTATTTGAGCATAAGCTTTCGTGAGCTACAGCTCACTTCATCAGATGCATACTGTGGAAAGTTTAGAAGATCTTTTTATATACACACAAAGCATGAAAAAATACCTCCTCCCACCCCACTCTCCTGCTGGTAATAGCTTATCTAAAGTGATCACTCTCCTTACAATGTGTATGATAATCAAGTTGGGCCATGTCCAGCACAAATCCAGGTTTTCTCACCACCACCACCACCACCACCCCCCCCCACAAACCCACTCTCCTGCTGGTAATAGCTTATCTAAAGTGACCACTCTCCTTACAATGTGTATGATAATCAAGGTGGGCCATTTCCAGCACAAATCCAGGGTTTAACACAAACGTCGGGGGGGGGGGGAGGAAAAAACAAGGGGAAATAGGTTACCTTGCATAATGACTTAGCCACTCCCAGTCTCTATTCAAGCCTAAATTAATTGTATCCAATTTGCAAATGAATTCCAATTCAACAGTTTCTCGCTGGAGTCTGGATTTGAAGTTTATTTGTTTTAATATTGCAACCTTTAGGTCTGAGATCGAGTGACCAGAGAGATTGAAGTGATCTCCGACTGGTTTATGAATGTTATAATTCTTGACATCTGATTTGTGTCCATTTATTCTTTTACGTAGAGACTGTCCAGTTTGACCAATGTACATGGCAGAGGGGCATTGCTGGCACATGATGGCATATATCACATTGGTGGATGTGCAGGTGAACGAGCCTCTGATAGCGTGGCTGATGTTATTAGGCCCTGTGATGGTGTCCCCTGAATAGATATGTGGGCACAGTTGGCAAGGGGCTTTGTTGCAAAGATCGGTTCCTGGGTTAGTGGTTCTGTTGTGTGGTATGTGGTTGCTGGTGAGTATTTGCTTCAGGTTGCGGGGCTGTCTGTAGGCAAGGACTGGCCTGTCTCCCAAGATCTGAGAGAGTGTTGGGTCATCCTTCAGGATAGGTTGTAGATCCCTCATAATGCGTTGGAGGGGTTTTAGTTGGGGGCTGAAGGTGACGGCTAGTGGCGTTCTGTTATTTTCTTTGTTAGACCTGTCCTGTAGTAGGTGACTTCTGGGAACTCTTCTGGCTCTATCAATCTGTTTCTTCACTTCCGCAAGTGGGCATTGTAGCTGTAAGAATGCTTGATAAAGATCTTGTAGGTGTTTGTCTCTGTCTGAGGGGTTGGAGCAAAGAAGAAAGAAGTGGCCTGACTTTGGCGGACAAACCCAATGACATTAGCACTTCTCTTTCAATAGCCAGGCTGTTAGGTGCAGCCAGCTGGGGACTGATGAAAAAGAGGACCTTGTGAGAAGATGTCCTGTCTCACTGGGGCTGTAGTGGCAGTCCTAATTTCAGCTCTCTCAGGTCTGAACACCAGGCTCTCCTTGACCGATGTGGGAATACCAATATTATTGTCACCAGCTCATTTTATCTTCTGGACCACTTTCCCTAATAATGGAAACACAAAGAGGAGGCCATGAGGCCATCTGTAAGGTAGGCCATCTGTCCCCATGCACCTGGAGTCCACCTGCCTGGTGCAGTATTTTGGTCGTTTCAAGTTCATGTGGTTTGCAGATAGGTTTGTGAAGGCAGGCTCAACAAGGGACAATTAACTCTGACTTCCTTATTCAGACACCACTCAAGAGTTTTTCACCTCATGCCTACTGAGCCAGTCTCCCTTTACATGAACTGCCCTGAGGGAGAGGAGAGAATGCTCTGCCCAGAAGCTGCGACTGGACAACAGGGGATGGATCACTTGGTAAATTGCCCTGTTCTGTTCATTCCCTCTGAAGCACCTGGCACTGGCCACAGTTGGAAGATAAGATCCTGGGCTAGATGGATCATAGTCTGACCCACCATAGCCGTTCTTATGCCCACTGCATGATTTCCATCGCTTCAGCAGATAGTACTGGGCTTCTTGTTCACTACTGATTGTTCACTTATGCAACTACAATCATGCTGTCTGACTGATTGAGGATGTGGTTCCCCTCTAGGCTGGACTAGAACCTTTGCAGCATCAGCTTGACTGCTCTTAGTTATAGGAAGTTTACACTGTGGGCTCTTTCCTCTTGATTGCAGATGTCTTGAGCTGCATGAGTTCCCAAATGTGCTCCCCATCCCTTGAAGCTGGCATTGGTTGTGAAGATAAGGAGATCTAGAAGGCATATGGGTATCCTTTTATGGACATGGACTTGGGCTGACCACCTTTTAAAAGAGTTGATTATCTGCGCCAGAACCTTCACTTGATATGTTCCCAGGAATGGACCTTAAAGATGAAGCCGTGAAGGTGCCTGTTGTGATCACCCATGGAGTGATCCCTTTGCACAGTACTAGGAGGCCAAATACTCGAAGGCTCCATGCTATAGTGGGCTTCTTGCAGTTCCAAAACAATGCAAGGAGGTCCCGAATCTTCTGGAACCGCTCTAGAATTGGATATATACTTGCTATAGAGGTGTCCATGGAAATGGGTAAGGAGACTGTCTGCTCAGAAGAGCCTGCCTCTCCAATCCTGCCTACATCCCTTCCTGCACAAGAGAGTGAGGTGAAATGACCCTGAAGTGACTGGGCTACATCCTCCCCCAGAGCCAGCCA